CCCAAGACCAGGACCAAGACCAGGACCAAGACCAGGACCAAGACCAGGACCAGGACCAAGACCAAGACCAAGACCAGGACCAAGACCAAGGACCAAGACCAAGACCAAGACCAAGACCAAGACCAAGACCAAGACCAAGACCAGGACCAGGACCAAGACCAAGACCAAGACCAGGACTAGGACTAGGACCAAGACCAGGACCAAGACCAAGGACCAAAGACCAAGACCAAGACCAAGACCAAGACCAGGACCAAGACCAAGACCAAGACCAAGACCAAGACCAGACCCTGGACCCTGGACTCTGATGTTCAGTGTTGTGATGGAGACCAGAGGAAGAGGAGCAGACAGGAGCAGACAGGAGCAGACAGGAGCAGACAGGGGCAGACAGGAGCAGACAGGGGCAGACAGGAGCAGACAGGAGCAGACAGGGGCAGACAGGACAGACAGACAGACAGGGCAGACAGGACAGACAGGAGCAGACAGGGCAGACAGGGGCAGACAGGGGCAGACAGGAGCAGACAGGGGCAGACAGGAGCAGACAGGAGCAGACAGGGGCAGACAGGAGCAGACAGGAGCAGACAGGAGCAGACAGGAGCAGACAGGAGCAGACAGGAGCAGACAGGGGCAGACAGGGGCAGACAGGGGCAGACAGGAGCAGACAGGGGCAGACAGGAGCAGGAGCAGACAGGAGCAGACAGGGGCAGACAGGAGCAGGAGCAGACAGGGGCAGACAGGAGCAGACAGGAGCAGACAGGGGCAGACAGGGCAGACAGGGGCAGACAGGAGCAGACAGGACAGGAGCAGACAGGAGCAGACAGGGGCAGACAGGGGCAGACAGGAGCAGACAGGAGCAGACAGGGCAGACAGGAGCAGACAGGGGCAGACAGGAGCAGACAGGAGCAGACAGGGGCAGACAGGAGCAGACAGGAGGCAGACAGGAGACAGACAGGAGCAGACAGGGGCAGACAGGGGCAGACAGGAGCAGACAGGAGCAGACAGGGGCAGACAGGCAGACAGGGGCAGACAGGCAGACAGAGCAGACAGGCAGACAGGCAGACAGGTGCAGGCAGAGCAGACAGGAGCAGACAGGGACAGACAGGAGCAGGCAGGAGCAGACAGGAGCAGACAGGAGCAGACAGGAGCAGACAGGTGCAGCAGAGCAGACAGAGCAGACAGGAGCAGACAGGAGCAGACAGGAGCAGACAGGAGCAGACAGGGGCAGACAGGAGCAGACAGGGGCAGACAGGAGCAGACAGGAGCAGACAGGAGCAGACAGGAGCAGACAGGAGCAGACAGGAGCAGGACAGCAGACAGGAGCAGACAGGAGCAGACAGGAGCAGACAGGAGCAGACAGGGAGCAGACAGGAGCAGACAGGAGCAGACAGGGGCAGACAGGGGCAGACAGGAGCAGACAGGAGCAGACAGGGCAGACAGGAGCAGGGGGCAGACAGGAGCAGACAGGGGCAGAGCAGACAGGAGCAGACAGACAGGAGCAGACAGGGGCAGACAGGAGGCAGACAGGACAGGGGCAGACAGGAGCAGACAGGAGCAGACAGGGAGACAGGGGCAGACAGGGCAGACAGGGGCAGACAGGGGCAGACAGGAGCAGGAGGAGATCACCCGCTGCAGTTCCTCTTTGGGCCTGAGGCGGCGCTGTCTGTCTGTCTGTCTGTCTGTACCTGAGCTCAGGATCAGACTGGAGCTGCTCTTCCACTGAACCCGACTCAGAGCGACTGGACTCAGAGCGACTGGACTCAGAGCGACTGGACTCAGAGCGACTGGACTCAGAGCGACTGGACTCTGAGCCGCTGGAGGCACAAACACAAACCGTGTTCAGCCACAGGAGGCGCTCTTCTCCACAGACTCCACTGACCCGTCAAAATAAAACACCTCACCTTCTTCCCTTTCCACTCGTACACATCCAATAAATCCAAACCCTGACCTCTGACCTCTGACCTCTGACCTCCAGTCTGACACGTGTTTGTTTGGATCTGAGTCGAGGGTTTGATTCTGTTTCACGGTGATCAGACTTTAGACTTTAGTTTTTTTTTGATGTAGCAACACACGAGTCATTACATTAGAGTAAAAGTATGCGGTGCAAAAGTACAGCATCGCACTTTAAGACACGTAAACGGGAAATGTCGACCGTTATTTTTTTTTTTTTCATTTTGGTTTTGGGGCAAATAATGAGAAAAATAGTTGTTTTTTTCTTTTTGTTATTTTTGGTTTTATTTTGAAAAACGAATGATACACGGATTCTTCATCTTGTCGCTTTCTGACTCGTCCCCCCCCCCCCCCTCTACAAGTGCAGATCAGTTTTGCCACATTCACATCGGAAAATGTGTTGCAAAAGTCAAGACGCGCAGACGTGAAGCTGCTGAGTTGTGTTTGTATCATGTCGCGCTGTTCATGCAAATATCAATCTACACATTTATTCAGATTTTTCTCCCGTGTGTGTAAATATTTTCCACAAGTTAAAATTTCAATCCGCAAGTGCACACATTTTTTCAAGCACTCGTGTGTTTTTTTTCACCGTGAATTCAACCCACACGTACATGAAAACAGGTCATTACAAGTTCAAAGTTTTGTTCTACACATTCTCACATTATATTCTACAAGTTCTCAAATCAAGTTTACACACTTTCTTCAGTAATGTGTCACTACAGGGAAAAAACAGTCATATTTTACTCGGTACAAATGTGAGTATCGCGCGTTACAAAGCTTTTTTAACCTGGACTAAAGTGGTGGGTTTTTCATTTTTCACGTAAACAAAATAAAACATGATGTACTGAAAATGACGAGGATAAAATCAAATATTCAATCCAAACGTTTCAATCAGTTCTGGTCCAAACAGGAAAATAAAACCAAAACTTTAAAAACGTGACTTGTTTCTCCCATCGCTGTGACGGAGGTGTGGCCCCCTGCTGGACGATTTATGAATGACACAAACACACATGTGACACGAGTCGAGTGAACGGTTCAGGTTCTGTTCTGTTATTGGACCTGGATGATTGACAGGTGAAGAGTGACTGACAGGTGAAATGACTGACAGGTGGCTTGATTGACAGGTGTTTTGACAGGTAGTACCTTTGAACCCTAGAGGGGTGGGGTCACTTTTCACCAGGTGTCGTTTGGACGTGTGCTCGGGACTCACCACTTTAACAAGTCAACAAAAAATAAAATAAAATAAATAAAAAATAAAAACAAACCAGAAAAGAGAGAGAAAGAGTCAGGAAACAGAAATAAAACGTTAAGATTCATATTTATGTGTGGAAATGTGACTAAAATGTAAAAAAATGAAAATATTGCTGCAGATCTACACATGTCCACCAGAGGGCAGTGCAGACTCTTTACAAATTTGGTGATTCAATTTTTTTAATATTATAAATTTGAACAGTGTCTTAAAATTCTTAACTAAAACGAACCTTATTTATTATTTTACTGAAACTTTAAGGTCCTTCAGCTGACACAAATTTTGGAAAATAATGGTAATTTAAATAGATTTTTTTTTTTTTTTTTTAGACATAATTTTCAGTTAATTTTTTTTGTGTTCAGGTTTAATCTTAGTAAAGTTCAGATTTTGAAAAAGTTTGACAGGTAAACTAACACATTTCAATGTTAAAGCGTCAAAAAAGTGAATTAAAAACATCTAAATTGTGAAGTTTGTAAAAAAGTTTGAGCAAAAACTACGATTGGATAAATATAAAACATTTAAATTCCAGTTTGCCTTGCAGAGCGTCGTACAGGATCGTACTGAGAGGTTTTATAAAATATTTTTAAGTGTATTTGTGCGTCTTGTGTCCTTGTTTCGTGACCCTCCAGGTTTTACCTTTGGGGCTCTTGAGGTTCCCGAAACCCTGTAAAGTGAATCTTTTTCTGGCCACAGCTCGATCCGACGTGGGGCTGGTCACCTCCTCTGCAGCTACACGTGTGTGTGTGAAAATATAAAACATGACCAAGAAAACAATGAAAGAAATCAAATAAAAAATTAAAAAATAAAGGTGAGTGAAGTGGAGCAGAGGACGAGGAGGAGAGAGGAGCAGGTTTAGTCAAAGCAGAAAAGTTTACAGTTTGTTTGTAGCAGATTTTCTCCATGAACATGTTGGATTTTTCCCTGGGGCCACAGCAGAAACAGAAAATATTGTGGAGCCAAAATGTTGAACTCAATTCTGCAGAATAATAATTATATTTCTTCATAAACATCAGTAAATCTCAGAGTTGTGACGCTGCTCAGACTGAAGAAGAGTTTATGTTTGACTCATGAAAAAGTGAAGCTGCTGAACAAAAAATGTGATTAAAAAAAACACGTCTAAAATAAAATAAAGCAGCTTTAGTCCAGACATGAGCTCAAATGATAAAATCTGTTTATTTTGTGATTGTAAATGAGTTTAATCTGCTGCTGTCAGAGTTTCAGGTTCACGCAGCTAAAACCTGGAACATTCTGAACATGTGACACAAACTCCACTCTGATTCAGGGCTCTTGAATTTGATGATGATTATTTATGTTTTGATTTGTTTTTATTGTGATTTTCATATTTTTCTTATTCTGTAAAACACTTTGAATGACTTTTGCCTAAACGGGACGATCCGAGTCGACCAAAGAGTCGAGTGTGACTCTGGAGCTGCACGAGGCTCAGGTCTGATCTACAGTTTACAGCTTTAAACTTTTCTATCTCCATGGAGACGGGCAGATGACAGAGCCTCTGAAAAGTCCCAGAGTGCAGCTTTACCAGTGTGTGTTTGTGTGTTTGTGTTTAGTCTTGTACCTTTGTGTTTGGGAGAGTCTGTCGGGGCGCTGGGCTCCGTCTTCTTCTCTTCTTTGTTCTTCTGGTTTTTCTGAGTGTTTCTGAACGGACTGAACAAAACAATCAAATATTTATTATTGATTAACAGAGACAGAGACGTAACGACGTCCAATTCTCCCCAAACGATATTTTCACGATACACATCTCATGGAACGATATGAACAAAACTGTGAATATGCGACTTTTCTCTCGTCATAATCCAAACATTTAAGATTTAAAAGTGTTTAATAACCGTTATTTCAACATGCAGACTGGACTGAGACGGAGCAAAGGATCATGGGATATGTAGTTCCCTCTGTTTTTTAAGCTGTTGCTGCACAAGAACAATTAATTTAAGAAAATAAACCTGTAATTTGAGATATTGTGACAGCCCAGAATATAAAAGTATAAGAGTGTGACTCGGACCTGAGGCAGATCTGGGTTTATATAAAAGTATAAAAGTATAAGAGTATAAGAGTATAAAAGTATAAGAGTATAAGAGTCATAGACCTGAGGCAGATCTGGGTTATATAAAAGTATAATAAAAGTATAAGAGTATAAAAGTATAAGAGTATAAGAGTATAAAGTATAAAGTATAAAAGTATAAGAGTATAAGAGTATAAGAGTATAAAAGTATAAGAGTATAAGAGTATAAAGTATAAAGTATAAAAGTATAAAAGTATAAGAGTATAAAAGTATAAGAGTATAAAAGTATAAGAGTATAAGAGTATAAAAGTATAAGAGTATAAGTATAAGAGTATAAAAGTATAAGTATAAAAAGTATAAAAGTATAAGAGTATATATAAAGTATAAAAAGTATAAAAGTATAAAAGTATAAGAGTATAAAAGTATAAGTAGTATAAAAGTATAAGAAGTATAAGAGTATAAGAGTATAAGAGTATAAGAGTATAAAAGTATAAAAGTATAAAGTAGTATAAAAAGTATAAGAGTATAAAAGTATAAAAGTATAAGAGTATAAAAGTATAAAAGTATAAAAGTATAAGAGTATAAGAGTATAAGAGTAGTATAAGAGTATAAGAGTATAAAAGTATAAGAGTATAAAAGTATAAGAGTATAAGAGTATAAAAGTATAAAAGTATAAGAGTATAAAAGTATAAGAGTATAAGAGTATAAGAGTATAAGAGTATAAGAGTATAAGAGTATAAGAGTATAAAAGTATAAGAGTATAAAAGTATAAGAGTATAAATATAAGTATAAGAGTATAAAATATAAAGAGTATAAAAGTATAAGAGTATAAGTAGTATAAAAGTATAAGAGTATAAGAAGTATAAAAGTATAAAAGTATAAAAGTATAAAGAGTATAAGATAAGTATAAGAGTAAGTATAAGAGTATAAGAGTATAAAGAGTATAAAGAGTATAAAAGTATAAAAGTATAAGAGTATAAGAGTATAAAAGTAGAGTATAAGAGTATAAAGTATAAGTATAAGAGTATAAAAGTATATAAAAGTATAAGAGTATAAGAGTATAAGAGTATAAGAGTATAAAAGTATAAGAGTATAAGAGTATAAGAGTATAAGAGTATAAGAGTATAAGAGTATAAAAGTATAAAAGTATAAAAGTATAAGAGTATAAGAGTATAAGAGTATAAGAGTATAAAAGTATAAAAGTATAAGAGTATAAGAGTATAAAAGTATAAAAGTATAAGAGTATAAAGTATAAAAGTATAAGAGTATAAAAGTATAAGAGTATAAAAGTATAAAAGTATAAGAGTATAAGAGTATAAGAGTATAAGTATAGAGTATAAAGTATAAAAAGTATAAAAGTAAAAGTATATAATATAAGAGTATAAAAGTATAAAGTATATAAGAAGTATAAAGTATAAGTATAAAAGTATAAAAGTATAAAAGTATAAGAGTATAAGAGTATAAGTATAAAAGTATAAGAGTATAAAAGTATAAAAGTATAAGAGTATAAAAGTATAAAAGTATAGAGTATAAGTAGTATAAAAGTATAAAAGTATAAGAGTATAAAGTATAAAAGTATAAAGTAGTATAAGAAGTATAAAGTAGTATAAGAGTATAAGTATAAGAGTATAAAGTATAAAGTATAAGAGTATAAAAGTATAAAAGTATAAGAGTGTATAAAGAGTATAAGAGTATAAGAGTATAAGAGTATAAGAGTATAAAAGTATAAAAGTATAAGTATAAGAGTATAAAGAGTATAAAGTATATAGAGTATAAGAGTATAAGAGTATAAGAGTATAAAAGTATAAGAGTATAAGAGTATAAAAGTATAAGTATAAAAGTATAAGAGTATAAGAGTATAAAGTATAAGAAGTATAAGAGTATAAGAGTATAAGTATAAGAGTATAAAAGATATAAAGAGTATAAAGTATAAAAGTATAAAAGTATAAAAGTATAAAAGTATAAGAGTATAAAAGTATAAAAGTATAAGAGTATAACAGTATAAAAGTATAAGAGTATAAAAGTATAAAAGTATAAAAGTATAAAAGTATAAGAGTATAAAAGTATAAAAGTATAAAAGTATAAGAGTATAAGAGTATAAAAGTATAAAGTATAAAAGTATAAAAGAGTATAAAAGTATAAAAGTATAAGAGTATAAAAGTATAAGAGTATAAAAGTATAAAAGTATAAAAGTATAAGAGTATAAAAGTATAAGAGTATAAAAGTATAAAAGTATAAAAGTATAAGAGTATAAAAGTATAAAAGTATAAGAGTATAAGAGTATAAAAGTATAAGAAGAGTATAAGTATAAGTATAAGAGTATAAGAGTATAAGAGTATAAAAGTATAAGAGTAGTATAAAAGTATAAAAGTATAAGAAGTATAAAAGTATAAGAGTATAAAAGTATAAAATATAAGAGTATAAAGAGTATAAAAAGTATAAAAGTATAAAAGTATAAGAGTATAAGAGTATAAGAGTAGTATAAAGAGTATAAGAGTATAAAAGTATAAAGTATAAAGTATAAAAGTATAAGAGTATAAGAGTATAAGAGTATAAGAGTTTGTCACAGACCTGAGGCAGATCTGGGTTTATATAAAAGTATAAAAGTATAAGAGTATAAAAGTATAAGAGTATAAAAGTATAAAAGTATAAAGAGTATAAGAGTATAAAGTATAAGAGTATAAAGTATAAAAGTATAAGAGTATAAAAGTATAAGAGTATAAAAGTATAAAGTATAAGTATAAAGTAGTATAAAGAGTATAAAAGTATAAGAGTATAAAAGTATAAAAGTATAAGAGTATAAAGTATAAGTATAAGAGTATAAGAGTATAAGAGTAAGAGTATAAAAGTATAAAGTATAAGTATAAGAGTATAAAAGTATAAGAGTATAAAAGTATAAGAGTATAAAAGAGTATAAAGTATAAGTCACAGACCTGAGGCAGATCTGGGTTTATATAAAAGTAATAAAAGTATAAGAGTATAAAAGTATAAGAGTAGTATAAAAGTATAAAGTAGTATAAAAGTAAGTATAAGAGTATAAGAGTATAAAAGTATAAGAGTATAAGAAGTATAAAGTAGTATAAAAGTATAAGAGTATAAAAGTATAAAAGTATAAAAGTATAAGTATAAAAGTATAAAAAGTATTAAGTATAAAAGAGTATAAAGAGTATAAAAGTATAAGAGTATAAAAGAGTATAAAGTATAAGTATATAAAGAAGTATAAGAGTATAAAGAGTATAAAGAGTATAAGAGTATAAGAGTATAAAAGTATAAAAGTATAAGAGTATAAAGTATAAAGAGTATAAGAGTATAAAAAAAGTATAAAAGTATAAAAGTATAAAAGTATAAGAGTATAAGAGTATAAAAGTATAAGAAGTATAAAAGTATAAGAGTATAAGAGTATAAGAGTATAAAAGTATAAGAGTATAAAGTATAAGAGTATAAGAGTATAAAAGTATAAAAGTATAAAAGTATAAGAGTATAAGAGTTTGTCACAGACCTGAGGCAGATCTGGGTTTATATAAAAGTATAAAAGTATAAGAGTATAAAAGTATAAAAGTATAAGAGTATAAGAGTATAAAGTATAAAAGTATAAAAGTATAAAAGTATAAGAGTATAAGAGTATAAAAGTATAAAAGTATAAGAGTATAAAAGTATAAAAGTATAAGAGTATAAAAGTATAAGAGTATAAAAGAGTATAAGAGTATAAAAGTATAAGAAGTATAAGAGTATAAAAGTATAAAAGTATAAGATAAAGTATAAGAAGTATAAAAGTTTATAAAAAGTATATAAAAGTATAAAAGTATAAAAGTATAAAAGTATAAGAAGTATAAAAGTATAAAGAGTATAAAAGTATAAAAGTAATAAGAGTATAAGAGTATATAAAGTATAAGAGTATAAGAAGTATAAAAAGTATAAAAAGTATAAAAGTATAAAAGTATAAAGTATAAAAGTATAAAAGTATAAAAGTATAAAAGTATAAAGTATAAAAGTATAAGTATAAAGAGTATAAGAGTATAAAGTATAAGTATAAAAGTATAAAAGTATAAAAGATAAAGTATAAAAGTAGTATAAAAAGTATAAAAGTATAAAAGTATAAGAGTATAAGGTATAAGAGTATAAAGTATAAAAGTATAAGAGTATAAAAGTATAAAAGAGTATAAAGTATAAAGTATAAAAGTATAAAAGAGTATAAGAGTATAAAAGTATAAAGAGTATAAAAGTATAAAAGTATAAAGAGTATAAAGAGTATAAAAGTATAAAAGTATAAGAAAGTATAAGAGTATAAAAGTATAAAGAGTATAAAAGTATAAGAGTATAAGAGTATAAAAGTATAAGAGTATAAAAGTATAAAAGTATAAGAGTATAAGAGTATAAAAGTATAAAAGTATAAAAGTATAAAAGTATAAGAGTATAAAAGTATAAAAGTATAAGAGTTTGTCACAGACCTGAGGCAGATCTGGGTTTATATAAAAGTATAAGAGTAATAAAAGTTAAAAAGTATAAAGAGTATAAAAGTATAAGAAGTATAAAAGTATAAAAGTATAAAGTATAAGAGTACAAGAGTTTGTCACAGACCTGAGGCAGACGGGGCTGTTGGACGCCGTCGTTGGAGACATGATTTCAGAGCTCTTCTGTTGACTCGCCTCTGAACAAAACATTTTCACATTTTTAAATAAATTCAAACTTTAAAAGTGTAAAATAACTGTTTCCATGGTTACCTCTGAAGGCGTGCAGCTGCTCCGTCAGAACTTTACGGATCTCGTTCACCCAGGCACTTTTCACCTCGGCCGTCGGAGCCTGAACCACAAAAAAGTTTAAAGTTTATTCCTGACTTGGATCAGTGAACAGAACCTGTGGTTCATGTTATTATAGTTTTACTTCAGGTTTGTGCAGATCTGAACTGTGGGCTTCAATGTTTTTATGCAGAATAAACTGGAGATTCTGTTTGTGGAGCAAATTATGGAACTTGAAAGTTAAAAGTTGTAAAAGTTGTGAGAGTTTTGTACCTGGACGATGAAAACCTCGTCTCTGGAGTTGCACCAAATCTCAAACTTCTTATTGTCGCCTTTGGCGTTTTCTGTGATTCCCACGGCGCTCATCTGAAACACACCCAGGTTAGACCAGGTTTAGACCAGGTTTAGACCGGGTCTAGTCCTGGTTCAGTCGTCTCATCTCTGTCCTGGTCCCTGTCCTGGTCTCTGGTCTAGTCCCTGGTCTAGTCTCTAGTCTCTGGTCTGGTCTCTGGTCTCTGGTCTGGTCTCTGGTCTGGTCTGGTCTGGTCTGGTCTGGTCTGGTCTGGTCTGGTCTGGTCTGGTCTGGTCTGGTCTGGTCTGGTCTGGTCTGGTCTGGTCTGGTCTGGTCTGGTCTGTCTGGTCTGGTCTGGTCTGGTCTGGTCTGGTCTCTGGTCTGGTCTGGTCTGGTCTGGTCTGGTCTGGTCTGGTCTGGTCTGGTCTGGTCTGGTCTGGTCTGGTCTGGTCTGGTCTGGTCTGGTCTGGTCTGGTCTGGTCTGGTCTGGTCTGGTCTGGTCTGGTCTCTGTCTGGTCTGGTCTGGTCTGGTCTGGTCTGGTCTGGTCTGGTCTGGTCTGGTCTGGTCTGGTCTCTGGTCTGGTCTGGTCTGGTCTGGTCTCTGGTCTGGTCTGGTTCTGGTCTGGTCTCTGGTCTGGTCTGGTCTGGTCTGGTCTCTCTGGTCTGGTCTGGTCTGGTCTGGTCTGGTCTGGTCTGGTCTGGTCTGGTCTGGTCTCTGGTCTGGTCGGTCTGGTCTGGTCTGGTCTGGTCTGGTCTGTCTGGTCTGGTCTGGTCTCTGGTCTGGTCTGGTCTGTCTGGTCTCTGGTCTCTGGTCTGGTCTGGTCTCTGTCTGGTCTGGTCTGGTCTGGTCTCTGGTCTGGTCTCTGTCTGGTCTGGTCTCTGGTCTGGTCTGGTCTCGTCTGGTCGGGTCTGGTCTCTGGTCCTGGTCTGGTCTGGTCTCTGGTCTGGTCTGGTCTGGTCTGGTCTGGTCTCTGGTCTGGTCTGGTCTGGTCTGGTCTGGTCTGGTCTGGTCTGGTCTGGTCTGGTCTCTGGTCTGGTCTGGTCTGGTCTGGTCTGGTCTGGTCTGGTCTGGTCTGGTCTCTGGTCTGGTCTGGTCTGGTCTGGTCCTCCTGGTCTCTGGTCTGGTCTGGTCTGGTCTCTGGTCTGGTCTCTGGTCTGGTCTGGTCTGGTCTGGTCTGGTGGTCTCTGGTCTCTGGTCTCTGGTCTGGTCTCTGGTCTCTCTGGTCTGGTCTGGTCTGGTCTGGTCTGGTCTGGTCTGGTCTGGTCTGGTCTGGTCTTGGTCTCTGGTCTGGTCTGGTCTGGTCTGGTCTGGTCTGGTCTGGTCTGGTTGGTCTTGGTCTGGTCTGGTCTGGTCATCTGGTCTGGTCTGTCTGGTCTCTGGTCTGGTCTGGTCTCTGGTCTGGTCTCTGGTCGTCTGGTCTCTGGTCTGGTCTGGTCTGGTCTCTGGTCTCTGGTCTTGGTCTGGTCTGGTCTGGGTCTTCTGGTCTGGTCTGGTCTGGTCTGGTCTGGTCTGGTCTGGTCTGGTCCTCTGGTCTGGTCTCTGTCTGGTCTGGTCTGGTCTGGTCTGGTCTGGTCTCTGGTCTGTCTCTGGTCTCTGGTCTGGTCTGGTCTGGTCTCTGGTCTCTTCTGGTCTGGTCTCCTGGGTCTGGTCTGGTCCTCTCCTCTGGTCTCTGGTCTGTCCTGGTCTGGTCTGGTCTGGTCTCTGGTCTGGTCTGGTCTGGTCTGGTCTCTGGTCTGGTCTGGTCTGGTCTCTGGTCTGGTCTGGTCTGGTCTCTGGTCTGGTCTGGTCTGGTCTGGTCTCTGGTCTGGTTCTGGTGGTCTGGTCTGGTCTGGTCTGTCTGGTCTGGTCTGGTCTGGTCTGGTCTGGTCTGGTCTGGTCTGGTCTGGTCTGGTCTCTGGTCTGGTCTGGTCTGGTCTGGTCTGGTCTGGTCTGGTCTGGTCTGGTCTGGTCTGGTCTGGTCTGGGTCTGGTCTGGTCTGGTCTGGTCTGTCTGGTCTGGTCTGGTCTGGTCTGGTCTCTGGTCTCTGGTCTGGTCTGGTCTGGTCTGGTCTGGTCTCTGGTCTGGTCTGGTCTGGTCTCTGGTCTGGTCTGGTCTGGTCTGGTCTGGTCTGGTCTGGTCTCTGGTCTGGTCTGGTCTCTGGTCTGGTCTGGTCTGGTCTGGTCTGGTCTGGTCTGGTCTGGTCTGGTCTGGTCTGGTCTGGTCTGGTCTGGTCTGGTCTGGTCTGGTCTGGTCTGGTCTGGTCGCTGGTCTCTGGTGTTGGTCTGGTCTGGTCTGGTCTGGTCTGGTCTGGTCTGGTCTGGTCTGGTTGGTCTCTGGTCTCTGGTCTCTGGTCTGGTCTGGTCGGTCTGGTCTCTGGTCTCTGGCTGGTTGGTCTGGTCTGGTCTGGTCTCTGGTCTGGTTCTGGTCTGGTCTCTGGTCTGGTGGTCTTGTCTCTGGTCTGGTCTGGTCTCTGGTCTGGTCTGGTCTGGTCTGGTCTCTGTCTGGTCTGGTCTGGTCTGGTCTCTGGTCTGGTCTGGTCTCTGGTCTGGTCTGGTCTGGTCTGGTCTGTCTGGTCTGGTCTGGTCTGGTCTGGTCTTCTGGTCTCTGGTCTCTGGTCTGGTCTTTCTGGTCTGGTCTGGTCTCCTGGTCTGGTCTGGTCTGGTCTGGTCTGGTCTCTGGTCTGGTCTGTGGTCTGGTCTGGTGGTCTGGTCTGGTCTGGTCTCTGGTCTGGTCTCTGTCTGGTCTGGTCTGGTCTGGTCTCTTTGGTCTGGTCTGGTCTGGTCTGGTCTGGTCTGGTCTGGTCTGGTCTGGTCTGGTCTGGGTCTGGTCTGGTCTGGTCTCTGGTCTGGTCTCTGGTCTGGTCTGGTCTCTGGTCTCTGGTCTGGTCTCTGGTCTGGTCTGGTCTGGTCTCTGGTCGGTCTGGTCTCTGGTCTGGTGGTCTGGTCTGGTCTGGTCTCTGGTCTGTCTGGTCTGGTCTGGTCTGGTCTGGTCTGGTCTGGTCTCTGGTCTCTGGTCTGGTCTGGTTGGTCTGGTCTCTGGTCTGGTCTCTGGGTCTGGTCTGGTCTTGGTCTGGTCTGGTCTGGTCTGGTCTGGTCTGGTCTCTGGTTCTGGTCTGGTCTGGTCTGGTCTCTGGTCTCTGGTCTGGTCTGGTCTGGTCCTGGTCTCTGGTCTGGTCTCTGGTCTGGTCTGGTCTCTGGTCTGGTCTGGTCTGGTCTGGTCTGGTCTGGTCTCTGGTCTGGTCTGGTCTGGTCTGGTCTGGTCTGGTCTGGTCTGGTCTGGTCTCTGGTCTCTGGTCTGGGTCTGGTCTGGGTCTGGTCTGGTCTGGTCTGGTCTGGTCTGGTCTGGTCTGGTCTCTGGTCTGGTCTGGTCTGGTCTGGTCTCTGGTCTGGTCTGGTCTGGTCTCTGGTCTGGTCTGGTCTGGTCTGTCTGTCTGGTCTGGTCTGGTCTGGTCTCTGGTCTGGTCTCTGGTCTGGTCTCTGGTCTGGTCTGGTCTGGTCTGGTCTCTGGTCTGGCTGGTCTGGTCTGGTCTTCTGGTCTGGTCTGGTCTGGTCTGGGTCTGGTCTGGTCTGGTCTGGTCTGGTCTGGTCTGGTCTGGTCTGGTCTGGTCTGGTCTGTCTGGTCTCTGGTCTGGTCTCTGGTCTCTGGTCTGGTCTGTCTGGTCTGGTCTGGTCTGGTCTGGTCTGGTCTGGTCTCTGGTCTGGTCTGGTCTGGTCTGGTCTGGTCTGGTCTGGTCTGGTCTGGTCTGGTCTGGTCTGGTCTGGTCTGGTCTCTGGTCTCTGGTCTGTGTCTGGTCTCTGGTCTCTGGTCTGGTCTCTGGTCTCTGGTCTGGTCTCTGGTCTGGTCTGGTCTGGTCTGTCTGGTCTGGTCTGGTCTGGTCTCTGGTCTGGGGTCTGGTCTCTGGTCTCTGGTCTGGTCTGGTCTCTGGTCTGGTCTGCTCTGGTCTGGTCTCTGTCTGGTCTCTGGTCTGGTCTGGTCTGGTCTCTGGTCTCTGGTCTGGTCTGGTCTGGTCTGGTCTGGTCTGGTCTGGTCTGGTCTGGTCTGTCTGGTCTCTGGTCTGGTCTGTCTCTGGTCGGTCTGGTCTGGTCTGGTCTGGTCTCTGTCTGGTCTCTGGTCTGTCTGGTCTGGTCTGGTCTCTGGTCTCTGGTCTGGTCTCTGGTCTGGTCTGGTCTGGTCTGGTCTGGTCTGGTCTGGTCTGGTCTGGTCTCTGGTCTGGTCTGGTCTCTGGTCTGTCTGTCTCTGGTCTCTGGTCTGGTCTGGTCTCTGGTCTCTGGTCTCTGGTCTGGTCTGGTCTGGTCTGTCTGGTCTCTGGTCTCTGGTCTCTGGTCTGGTCTGGTCTGGTCTGGTCTGGTCTGGTCTGGTCTCTGGTCTGGTCTGGTCTGGTCTCTGGTCTGGTCTCTGGTCTGGTCTGGTCTGGTCTGTCTGTCTCTGGTCTGGTCTCTGGTCTGGTCTGGTCTGGTCTGGTCTGGTCTCTGGTCTGGTCTCTGGTCTGGTCTCTGGTCTGCTCGGTCTGGTCTGGTCTGTCTGGTCTGGTCTCTGGTCTCTGGTCTGGTCTGGTCTGGTCTGGTCTCTGGTCTGGTCTGGTCTGGTCTGGTCTCTGGTCTGGTCTGGTCTCTGGTCTGGTCTCTGGTCTGTCTGGTCTGTCTGGTCTGGTCTGGTCTCTGGTCTCTGGTCTCTGGTCTCTGGTCTGGTCTGGTCTGGTCTGGTCTGGTCTCTGGTCTGGTCTGGTCTGGTCTGGTCTGGTCTGGTCTGGTCTGGTCTGGTCTGGTCTGGTCTCTGGTCTGG